GGCCGAGAACGCTGCTGCCAGGGAATCGCCGGCCAGCTCCAACTTTCCCCCACCCTCGTGCCTTCCAGATATGCTGGACTCCATCTCCCATCCTCCTGTGCGCCCGTGGGCCGTGGTTCGCTCCAGCTACAAATGGTGGGATTCAGCAGCCGCCCGCAATGGGACAGCCTGGGTTAGGGTGCTGGCAAAGCTGAAGCAACCTTTCCCCCAGCTGGGCTGGACTACAGTACCTATCAGGCTGGCCAGCACTAGCCTGATGGGCACTGTAGCCAGCACCAGAATCCAGATTAAGGCATCATCTTGGGAAGGGGCTGCAAATGGAAAGCCGCCTTCGCCGACCTGTGTGGGACTACAGTACCCACCATGCTCAACTAGCACGGTTGTGCCAGGTGGGGTGATGGGAGAGGTGGTGCAACATGTCTGGGAAATGCCAGCTTGGGTGAATGGGGGCTGGCAGGGGTTTTGCACTCTGATTCTTTGCCATCAGCTTCAGCCAAGCCAAGCCTCTGGGGAGGGGGTGTTCAGATGGGGGTCAGGTGAAAAGGGGACTCAAGACCTGCTACTGGCATCTGAACAATTTGGAGTAAGCCAACAACGGTTCCCAATTCCCCTTATCTAACAAAAGAGTTTCCTCCTCCTGCTAAACTAGGTTGTCGGGATGAAAAAAAAATGTTACAGAGGTATGGTTGGAAACCAGGGGTGGGCTGTTATGCGTATGGTCTTGCAGACTTGATCCTGGTCAAGGAATTCCCGGACTGAACAGATGCTCAGAAACACTTTCTTCCTTGCTTCATAGACTGGCTGTGCTTCCCAACCCCCATTTTGCATTTCCAACTAGGATTTCTGTTCAAAGCAAAGCAGACAAGCTTTGCATCCACACTTTTCCTTTAGATAGCTACAGACGGCCTTTCACTTATGCAAGATACACTAAACTCACCCAGCTGTGTTTGCACCCTCTTCTGAATGGGTCTTTAAGCTTTCTCCCCAACCTCTATCCAGATAGCATCACAACATCTATTTGCCTGCAGCTACTACACTATTCTGGTAATTTGGATTTTGAAACTGGATTAACAGTTTCAGAGAGGAGAGAATTGCCCCTTCCTTCCTTCCTTCCTTCCTTCCTTCCTTCCTTCCTTCCTTCCTTCCTTCCT